CTCCTCCTCCTCCTCCTCCGCTTCTAGATGTCATTTTGAGATTTATTTTTGTTTGTTTTCCATAAATTGTAAGAATTGTTGTTATTTTTGTAAATTCACCTTTTCCACATTTGTTCTTTTTAAAAATGTCCCCCCTTTCTAGTTGTTTTATTTATATGAAATGTGTCAGAAGATAAGAAAATTATATATTTTTTTTATGAGAACATATATAGCACCTTCTGATGTCTCCAGTGACTCTTGGCACCAAAATTATTAGGAATCTGAATTTATGGTACTCTGTGTTTGAGCTCAAAGAATGCACTATGAAAAATTTTCTTTACTTCTCTTTTTGTGACTGCCCTATGTCTTCTGATAACCTCCCAAACTTGTCCTGTTCCTGGGCACCTGCAGGCTAGGCAGCTATTGTAAGAATCATAAAGCATGAGTACTGAATGAAAAACAGAATAATTGTATAATTAATGGTGTGGGCTGAAGAGAAAATTGTTTAGAAGTAGAGCATGATGCTGGAGCAGTTGAGTAATTAAGTCCTGCCCTTGTAATGCTCTTCAGTTTTTTCTGTACTGTGCCCTGACTGTACTTTCAGTCATCTAGCAGTTTTAAAATCCTGTAGTTTCTGCAGGCTAAAATCACATCTTACTCAAATGGTCTGTTTGTCTGTGTAATTAATTAGGAAAACTTTTGCTCTTTGTCACTCTGTATCTCAAAGAAGATCAGATCTGGGAGAATCAGATTAGGCTGGAACTGTTTCTGTTCTCCTGCACTTGAAAATATGACTGCACCAGAGAACTGTACCCTATTTGAGGCAGCAAGCTATCTTAATTTGGCAACTTTTTGTTCATTCTTCTTTCTTTTACACTTTATAGAAACGGAAGCTCCAATTAAGCCCAGAGCAATGTAGCAACTTTTATGCAGACCAATATGGAAAAATGTTTTTTCCTAATTTAACAGCCTATATGAGTTCTGGACCTGTAGTTGCTATGGTTCTTGCCAGAAATCGCGCAGTCTCATACTGGAAGGAATTGCTTGGACCATCAAACAGCATCAGAGCTAGGAGAACTCACCCTCACAGGTAACTCACTGATGGGCCTTGATGAAGTCAGTAGGATTTTGTCTTTCTCTTCACTGAGACCAGAGTTTCTCTGCTTTTTCCTTTTTTTTTTCCTTTTACAATAGATATATACGTTTCCAGTGGCCTGTTATCTCTTAAATTCTGTGTAACAACACAGCTTTTCACCTTTGGTTTTTAGTATGTAAAGTTTTACATACCCATTTTACGGAGAATGCTGAGTGCATGAACATAAATTTTAGGTACTTATTTTGTTTAAAAACAAAATCAAGCTAGTGCCTTGATAATTAGTCTCTATATATTACTTTTATATGCTCTCAGACTGTAGAGACTTGGAAGGGATTTGCAGTTTCCTAGCAAGCAGTTGTTTCTCTTTTCATTTATTTATTTCTTTATTTAGCTTAAGAGCAATCTATGGGACTGATGATCTGAGGAATGGATTTCATGGCAGTCTCAGCATTTCCGCAGCAGAAAGAGAAATCCGATTCATGTTTCCAGAAGGTAAAATAGTGCAAATAATACTTTGCCAATCCTTGGGAGTATCCTTCCCAAGTCCTTCCCACTTGTCTCTGGCCGGGTTGTAGGTATAGTTGGATTTACAAAGGGTTGGGTTTGTTTTCTTTATGAGGATGTGAGTCTCTTTACATATAAGTTGATATTTTCTGCTACAAAAAATGTACCAAAATGTATCTAAAGAGCCATTATAGTTAGAGGGATGGCTTATACTTTTCAAACTCTGTGGTCTGGAGCACACAAAGCTGGTACATAGAATGGTTTGGATTGGAAAGGACCTTAAAGATCATCCAGTTCCAACCCCCCTGCCATCAGCATGGACACCTTCCACTAGACCAGGTTGCTCAAAGCCTCATCCAACCTGGCCTTCAACACTTCCAGGGTCGGGGCATCAACAGCTTCCTTGGGCAACCTGTTCCAGTGTCTGGCCACCCTCACAGTGAAGAACTTCTTCCTAATATCTAATCTAAACCTCCCCTCTTTCACTTTAAATCCATTTCCCCTTGTTTTGTCATTAACTGCCCTTATGAAAAGTCCTTCCCCAGCTTTCTTGTAGCCCCTTCAGGTACTGGGAGGCTGCTATAAGATCTCCCCAGAAGAGAGGTACATACTCCAGAATATCCTTCTGGCATTGTCAGCCCCAGGGGTTCCTGTTGGCTTGAGAAGACTGACTGTCTTCTTGGGCTCAGGCTGAGTAATTCCTGTTCCACAGCAGCTGGATGCTTACAGGACAGTGCAACTCCAAAGTGCCCGAGAAATGGGCCATAGAACCTGGACAGGCTGGGAGAAGATCTCTTGTTTGTAATGTAACAGTTGAAAGATGACTTTGCTCTTTGACAGAAAGATGGAGGAGAAACTGCTAGAAAAACTTGTCTGTTTCTGTCAGCTGGATCAGTTTAGTCTAATAAAAGAGGTTGCACTTCCCTACAAACCTCACCCTTTGTAAACTATGTTGCTTCTCCTAACGACAAAGCTGGACTGAAAGTGGGATTTTTAGGGTTTCCAGAACCTGGCTCCACACTGCAAGAGGGAAGTTCTAAACATGGGATGTATTGTTTCTCTCCTGTCCACAATGCATCTTTGAGGATATAGGTTTTCCCCAGATGATCTGATTTCCTCCCCTTTCATAATTGTCTATAATTAGTAAGATGACCTCGGGGACATGGTAAAGAGGTTCTGGTAATTTTGCAGTTTGTTGTGGAAGAAGCTATAAAAACCATTATGTATTATTAACTTCTTAACAGCAGCTCATATATAAACAACCTTTGAAAAAAACCTCACCTTTTTAAAATCACTCAACAGCTGTGGTTCCTCTTTACAGTGATCTTGGAGCCAATTCCAACTGGACAAAGAGCCAGGGATTACTTAAACCTTTACGTAAAGCCGACGTTACTAGCTGGGCTCACTGCACTGTGTAAAGAGAAGCCAGCAGATCCAATGGTATGTACAGGGTGTCAGGGGTGTGGTGTGTGCTTTGTGTGATAGATTTACTTTCTATGAGTAAAGTCCCTGTATATAGGAAAGCTACTCTGTTTTTTTTTTTAAAGAGCTGTGTTGTTTTAGCTACCTGCTAATGAGCTAATCAAATAACATTGGCCTTTCAAGAAGCTGATTGGTTTGTTAACAGATGAAATGAGGGTCAGGACTAAATGGAATCAGCCTTGATGAAATGACAGGGTGTTTAGGTGACTTCTATAAAGCTCCTTCTAGCATGTAATTGTTATGGATGGCTGGAAAGTTGAATGGGTGCTATCATATGATGATAAATGTAAGTTTTTACTTTATTTACTGTTTCTGAGGTGAGTTTGAGACAAAATAGCTCTCATACAATAGATACTGAGATTAGATGCTAATCCCACTGGTAGTAGTTACACAGCGAGTAAAATACTGCACAGTTATTAGCAAGGCTGTCTGTATTTTACCATTATTATGTTTATTTAAATTATTATTACCAGTCCTTCTGTAGCATAAGCTATTGTTTTGACTATACAGCACCAATTAGCATTTACTTGGGTTGCTCTGCAGTCCACCAGGAAAATGAGTTATAATTCTTCTGAGTGAAACTCGTCTTGAACAGTCAAACTAATCAACCAAAAATTCTTCTGTCTTCTTGTAACCCCTTTCTAGTTACCAAGCTGATGCATCTTGCTCTCCTCTCATGTATTATTCTTTTTAACCATGGATGTCATTCAAATTGCAGTTCTGGAAAGACTAGGGTTAATTTCCTGTTGTGTTTTTAGTGGTGGTGGGGTTTTTTTGTTTGGTTGGTTGGTTTTTTAATTCCTAAACAAAACTAGCTTTCTTTCACCTGGAAAAAATATAGTAAATGTTTTTTGTATTCTTAAAGTTCAAGTTGTTCACACTAGTACTTCTTTAAGAATGCAGATAATTAATCAGTGTGACAATTTACTGGCAGTTGTGGTGGATTCTACATCATTATCAGGTTTTTAATCAAGATTGCATTTTTATAAAAGATGAATTTCATTAAAAAAGGCTGAAAAATAATTCAGGGGTGTTTCTATGAACAATGTGGTCTACATGAGGTCAGATTAAATGTACTGTGACTGTTCCAGCTTTATAACCTGTTTACTTTGTATGTCTGGCACTGTTACCATAGAAATCTAGAAAACAGTCCATCCCTCTGCCCGAAGGCCAGACCACTTGGATCCAACCATCCTCACAAATGTTTGTCTGGGCCTGTTCTTTAGCACTCCAAATAATGGAGATTCCACAGTTTCCCTAGGCAATCTGTTTCAAGCACTTCATTATACTTAGTTAAAAAGCTTTCACTAAAAGTTAACCTAAATCTCCTCTACTCGAATTTTAAGCCCATTACTGTTTTTTTTCTTTTACTATCTCCAGAGGACATTGAAGACAATGTAATATCTCTTTTTTTGCAGCAACCTATTGAATATTTGAAGAGCGTTACCACTTTCTTTCCCTTCAGTTGTCTTCACTGTATTAAAACCTGATTTTTTTCCTCTTACATTATAAGTCACACTTCTCCAGCTCATTCTTTTTGCTTCTAATTAATCTCTGCACTCTGAGCACAATTTTCTAGCCAGTTATATGGTAAATAATAGTAACTTTCTCAAGACTATGCTTTCCTTCCTTGCTGTATTCTTAAAGTTCAAGTTGTTCACACTAGTACTTCTTTAAGAATGTAGATAATTAATCAGGGTGACAGTAAGAAAGTTATAAAGCTATATGAAGCAGTGTCAGTAGCTTTACTAAAATTAAAACATGATATTTGCTCCTTCTTCCCTGTCCGTAATGTCTATGACCTTGTAACAAAAGGAAAACAATGTTGATTTGATACTCCTTTTTTTACACATAGATGTTGGTTATTGCTTTTCAGTTTATCTGCCAGGTGACTTACAGGGAGATTGACGGAATGCTGGTTTTTTCCTAGTATTCTTCCAGGAACTGAAGAACTGAATTGGGGGTGATTTGTCTCTTCCCCCAACCCCCCCTTTTTTTCCCCCTCTCCTTTCTTTTTGAAGATGGCATCATCAGGAATGGTCTCTCCACTCAGAAATACTTGCTAGCAGCACAGAGCTTGTCTCAGCCAATTCCTTAAGTGACACTGGATAAATTTCAGTGGGCTCAATGATTTCACAATTTCTTTTTTCCAAGAAGTCTTTCTAAGAGGTTTTGGGGTCTGGTTTGGTTGTTTTACCATTTCTGTCTTGAGTTCTTACTCTGCTGCTGCTATTGCTGACTAACCTGTGGGGATTGTCATAGCGCTCTGCTTGTTGTCTCTTTCTTGGCAAACCAATCTTTTTGTACCTGGCAATAAAAGGAGAGTGTTGCTTCCCTTCCTGGTCTGCTGTTCGGTCAGTTCTTTCGCTTCACAGTATGGTATGAAGTTTGTTGTACTTAGCATTTCAGAAGCTAGTCGTCAACAGCCTTGTGAAGTCGCTAAGGATGTGTTAAAAACGTCTCTTTACAAGTGGAGAAATCGAGGCAAAGGGTTAATTTGCCTGAGGCCAGACCGAGACATCAGCAGATGAAGTTGGGACTCACAGCATTCCTACCTCCCACATTCTTATTTCAGTACAGTTTGCTGGAAGACTTCTAAGATTAATTTCAAAAAGTAAATGTAAAAAAAAACCCAACACCACAACAAAACAAACATTTTGGTTTTAGGGTTTAGGTTCTAGAAGGTGATTTCAGTGCAGAAGTCTGGCACTTTCCATGAGTGATTACTAGATAAATTATCTGTGTTGTCAGGAGTCACATTTCATTAAGCAGTTTGATGAATATTGTAGAACCTCCTTCCAAAACAGAGTTGTCTGGATTATTTGAAGTATGGCTCAGATGTTCTTATATGCATGAAATGATAGACATTGCCCAGAAAAGTTGTCTTGTAAAGGTCAGTGTGAATTGTTCAAAAGCAATATAACCTGTGAAGTTTAAAAGAAATTTTGAAAAAAAAAAACCAGGTTATTTGTCTGTCTGTTTTTCCTGAAAGGTCTTCATTTCGCAGCACAGTAGGAGAGTGTCTGTATCAGAGGTTTCAAATGATGCTTTTAATGTTCTCCCATACACTTAATAGAGAAAAACAGAAAACTGAAGATGGTATTTGTGGTTTTGTTTTGTTCCACAGACTTGGCTTGCTGACTGGTTGATTGAACACAATCCTAATAAACCTAGGCTGCAACATCAGATCACTGAGGAAGAGCATCAAGGGTGAGAGCTCGATGGAAACCATCTCCAGCATTCCAAGTTACAGACGTTTACTGAACACTTTCAATGTATCCCTTGGCTATGTAATCAATATTATCTGAAGTAAATGTTATTGTCCTACCTACCTGTGTCTTCATGGAATGCATGACCTTACACTTCACCAGGATTTAATATTTCTAGTAGCTTTTCTGTTGACATAGTGAATGTAGAATTACACACTAAATTTACGGTGTCAGGTGATTCGAGAAAGACAAAATTCCCATCAGGTGTGTCAGCTGCTATTTTCCCTGTTTATCTTGGTTTGACTGTCTGAGGAGAACCAAATTATTTACCCCAGCACAGATTTCCAAGTGCCATCCAGGTGTCCTGTGCTTTGTGAAACTGAGAGTTGTATTTCAGTGTTTTTTTTAATCAGACACAAATTCCATTATGAAGGGAGGTACTTGGGTGTAAGTTAGAAAACAGTTACTGGAGGCATATTAGCAACTTCAGAATTTTAATTGCTGATTACATCACTGAGCTAAGGTCACTCTGCAAGATGATTCACTTGACCCTGATGTATTTCATCAGGATGTAACCTGAAGGAGTTATTCGAAGGTACATCAAATGTACCTTTCCCATCTCAGTGGCAAAACACACAGTGATTATTAAATCAATCTTTGACTTCCATTAGAAGTCACAAGAAGGTGTATTTTAGTGAAGGACTAATGCTGTCTTCCAACATCTGTTTGAAAGAATGATGCTTAATTGGAACAGCTCACTTTAAGGGTGTTTTCTGTGTTCTCCTGCTCTTAAAACCTATGCTGATGTCTGTTTTTACCCTTGAACTTGCATGTGTTGTAGTTGAAAATTGCAAGAGAATGGATTAGGGGCCATGCTGTTCGACAGACAGTGGGTTAATCCCACACTATTACCTTTTTCTAATGTAACTGGACTGTTTTTTTTGAGGAGGTTTGGGGCATTTTAATTTTCTTAAGAGCTGTACTTGCACTGTTAACTTCAGGCTTTGTGTCTTATGGTTTGACTGGCTAGGATGGAGAAAGCAATGCCATTTTTATTGCTCTGAAATATTAGTATGCTTGACTAATACTAAACAAACAAGCAATTTCATAATTTGTTTCGTGAAAAAACTTGCTCCCACAACTTGAGTAATTACCACAAACATAAGTCATTTGTCTGTAACATTAAACTTTGTTTAAGCTAATTGTTTATCTTCTCCATGAAACTAAACCACTATTGCCAGTCCAGAGAGTAAACATTTAGAAAACTGGTCCCTACACTACCAAGACCTATAAATCTTGGGACTTTTAGTAGAAGGGTGGGGAAAGCGAGGCCAAACTCTCAGATATGAAGAAAAAAAAATATGAGCTGTTTAGAAACAGAATAAACAGATCTGTTTACAACTGTTTTTTCCCTATAATTATTGTTCCCATACGTGTCTGATTGTTCCAGTTACAGGACAGTTGCTCTTTGTGGTTTCCTGTCAGCAAAACCAAAACTTTATTTTTTGAAGATGCCAGAAACTAAAATCTGGTGAATTCCCAAGATGTTCTCCTGTATTTTGTTAGTTACTATGGCATTTGCTTACTTAGTTTGATGTGATACTGTTTGACAATAAATATCTCCTTTCTCTTACTGCTGGAATTTTCAGTTTTGCTTTTGTGACTGACCTGTGTTGTATTGTACCTATAGAAGACCAGAACTTCTATGGAGAGTATGTGGATCCTTACCAGGAGAAAGGGCAAAAGCAGCTGATGTATATAACCCACGCAATACAAAGTGTCAGTCATTCAAGTGTGTGTCTATTATGGATTTATTCTCTAATATCAGACCTCACACCTTCAATTGCTGACTGGTGTTCACTTCCATTTTTCTAAGGGAAAGGTAGAAAGAGAGAAGATACCTTCATCCCTTGGGTGCCCTCCTGCCTCTCTGTGTCTGTACATCTAGGATGAGTATTGATCCAGCAAATCTCAGAGCTGAGTTCTTGAGGAGCCTGCGTTAACAAGCAGGATGTGGGCAGAAGGTCAGTCCTGGGAATGTGAAATGGACAACCAGCCTGGTCCCCTGGGGGTGCTGTGACACCACGGAGGCGGCTGTTGCATGACGTGCTACTTGCATTTCTTTTGGTCTTTAGTTTTTTATCTGCCCCAGAGTGGTGTAGGCTTGGCTGGTGTTATAAATCCCTATCACAGAAAATGCAGCTTTGGAAAAAACCAGGTGAACTGAAAGTTGTCTCACTATTTGGTGTCAGCAAGGTAAGCCACTCTTTGTGGGAACGAGGGTCCTGTCGTCTCCCTCTGTGGAGTCATAATAATTACCTTCCCTATTGAGTTTTATTGGGTATTTTTAACTTTGAGGGAGTTCATTTTAGTTTTACTGCCTGGGTGCTGGCATAGAGCTATGTCCATAAAACTAACAGTTCAGTCTGTTTCCCATCATTCTGTTTTTTTTCAACAGACTTTCTCCTGGAACTTTGCTTATCATATGCTTGCTATCACCTGCACTGGAAGTTATTCTTGGAACTATATAGATTGCGTTAGCCTGAAGTATATGATTGTTCAGCCTTCCTGTCTCATAAGGGATTTATTATCTTGTAAGAGCAGTTAAACTGCCAGGAACCTTGAACATACTTTAAAGATGGCAGAAACCTCAGTCAAAGCCAGTTCCCCATTGCCTACATAAGTCAGAGGATTCCAGTGTGCCAAGCCTCAGAAATGAGTCACTGTTCTGAGCTTTGGACTTTAATTCAGCAACTTAAAGGAAAAACGAACAAACAAACAAAAAAAAGTCTTACATGGAAACCCTTGTTTGAGAGGAAATTGAGAGGATTTATCTATTTATCTTCCTTCATTCAAGTTATTAATCTCTACCATCCTTTAAACAACAGTTATCTAAGCAAAATTGGTACACTGATGATAAACTGATGGGCATTTGTCTCATGGTACTGTATGAAGGAAGGGAGTGACTCAAATTCTTACTTTTTTCAGTGCCATGTTAGAATGACAGAGTCTATTTAAAGACACAAGAGTCTTAGTTAATCTTAATTTGTTGAGATGGAGCAGTCGGATCAAGATAATTCATGTTATTCTGGACAGCAAATGGTGGTTTTTGGCACCACCCAACTACCATGCATGCTGTGAAAATACTGTAGTTTGTCGATTTCCTTTTTAAAGAAATCAGAAGAGTTGTTATTTTGTGGGAAAGAGAGAGTCTTGGCACGTCGTAAAAAGGTAAATTTTCTGCTGTTAGTGAAACAGAAACACTTGCTATGCTGCATCAGGAGCAGCTGCCCATACCTAGAAATATTCTGTAGTCTGGCTGAGCTCCTCTGGGTGTGGAGTGTGTCAGCAGCATGACTGATTCCTTGGGAGGATGCCTGTCAAATTATTGTTATGCTGCCTCCTGCCAAGTGATCGTGGAGATGCTGCCATAAGCTCAGGAGAGAGCCTATTGTTGGTCTTCTGAGCCAGAAACGAGGCATTGTTGTAAGACTAAGCGGTTGGTGGGAGAAGAGGGCAGCTTACAGACAAGTGGGTGAATGATACTCTAATAATGATAACACTGAAGGATTAAGAATCCTTTTCAGTTTACTGCTTGTGAGTGTTTTACAGCTGAGGGAGGTGATGGTTTCATACCAAGCCCATCGTGTAGTGGTGAGCTGGGTATGCTGACATTTGTCTGGTATGGCATCATATTTTGTCCCCTGAGAACACCTGACTGACACACTTGTCTAGCTCTGGTACTCTTCTGAAGCATGATTATTTTTAAAACAAAACAAAAAAACCAACCACTGGTGCTTGTAGGTGCAATTTTTTAACCATCATATTTACTTTATTTCAAAGTCTCACCTGGGATTTCTGAGTCAGCCTGGATGGATCTTCTGTGTTACTGGAGAGAATTGCAGAAGGCAGTTGGGTGCAGTCTGCCTGGGCGAGCAATCGCCTATGAACTCACCCTAAATTCCAGGGAATTTTTATGTGCAAGAACCTAATTTGGGTCTAAACACTCTTGGCTTTAGTAAACTCCTCTGCAAACCACCCATGCTTCTTTATAATCTATTTATAGTCAACGCCTAAGCTCTCATTTCCTCGCAAGGAGACAGTTGGGTTTTTCCTTACGTTTCCAGAATCTGTGCTGATTGTCAGGTGAGGAAATTCTGCACTTCCAAAAGCAACATCTTATTGCCATGCTGGCTATCGGTTCTTATCTCTTTTAGGTGTCATAAAGTTTGTTGTTTTGTTGTTTTTCCTTTTCTGGCTGGGTGGCATTCCCGTTGCAGTGTGAATGACAGCGACGTTTTGTACGTATGGAGTTTTGTGTCAGGCCTCGTCTCCCTGCGTGAGAAAATTCCCAGGAGTATTTAACGTACGCGTGCGGATCGATCTCCCGCCTGCCCCCATAAAGGACTTTACTCTGGGCCAATATAAAGCAGCCGTTACAGGGTGATGTTTAAACTTCGGAGATTAACACAGTCTCTCGATTGCACTTGCTTATTTTTATAATGTGTAATTTAGCAACTGAACCGTGAAAAGTTATGGCGTAGCAAGGTCTTCTTAAAAACCAGCGGCTCCAACTGTGCTTTCGGTTTGCTTCGTTGTAAATCCAGAGCAATTCCATTCTCTTAGTTAAAAGAAAAAAGGAAAATGGGATTATTTCTGGGAGCTGCTCAGCTGGTACGTTATGCATACATCTGAAATGTATTGTCAGATGTTGGCATGGCACCTTCTCTACTCTTATTGAAAGCAAAGAGTTTGTGCCAGATTTCTCTGGAGCCAGACTTGGACAATACCATTTTCTGCAGGCAGAACGCTTTGCCATTTGCCATTTTGCTGAGTTGTGCAATGGTTTTGTTTTTGCTTGGAAGAGGAAAGTTTGATCAAAGCTCTGTTTGAAAACCATATGCTTCATCCTGTGGCCACCACACATCTAGATAACCGAGAGAGCGCTCCCTACTACTTACCACTTGCAACTAAACTATCCCATGAGGTTATTGCTGAATATTTTTTCTTTTCTTCAGAGGTCTTCCTTGTAAATATACTGAATCGACCAGCGAAGTTTTGACCGTGACTGTCTTTGTTTTGCAAAGTTCTCTTGTAAACAGGCACCACGCTGGCTTC